TTGGCTCTGTGGGATAAGCACTGGACTGCTTACCACAAGGGTTGTGATTCAATCCCACCAGCCCTTCCTTGTGAGAAAGATTTCTGTTCCCTCAAAGATTTACAGCCTTAGAACCCTACACAGGGTTTCTGTGAGTTGGAACCGACTTCACAGCACGTAAATATAAGCCCTTATTCACAGCTGTTTTGTGGGCACTTTCTCTAGGGAATAAAATGAAGCTGGAGCCTCCTAAAATTATTTTCCACATTGAAATTCAGGTCACTGAAACAGCTAAATGCTGTGTTTACATGAAGGGTAAAATGCTGCACGATAGTACTTGCTGTTGTTCTTATGTGCCTTGGAGTCGCTTCCGACTCATAGCGACCCTTAAAAGGTGGGAATTAACCCAGGCTTTGAACTCGTGCAGCAATGACCAGTGAAACCAAGTTGGAATAGACTCAGACTTGTACAGTTTACATGAAGTAGAATGACGAATGGGCTGGGAAAAAATTAGCAGCTTGAAGCTTGGACTAGGGGACTTGTAAGAGGTGCGTAGCGAGCCCTTGAGAGAGGGATGAAAACATGGTGAGGTCTGCTGCCATCTTTGAGGAGGCCATGGCTGTATCTTGCCATGCAATGAGCCACTTCCTCTGTTTTCTTAGGCTCCAGCAGGACCCTTCTTTTTTTTAACCTTTTATTGAGAAGTAGGTGAAAGTTTACAGAGCAAATTGCCAGTTTTACATTCACTAAATCATAAACGTTTCATCTCATCGATCGCATTCCCCCCAGTGTAACATCACTTATCCCTCGTCTCCCTGTGTCTCTTGTTTCCATTCCATTTTCTTTCCCCACCCTTCTGAGCTTGGTTTGATCTTGCATGGTTGACCATTCTATGGTGGCTCGTTAGTGTTGAGTCATGGGGGTGAGTTCAGTTTCAGACATGAAGAGTCATCAGTGGTCCTAGTCTCGTGGTTCCAGCAGTCTCTATACTAGTAAGCCTGGTCATTTCTGTGAGTTTGAGTTTTGTTGCACATTTCTCCCTCTCTATCTAGGACCTTCTCATGTGATCCCTTTCAGAGCAGTTATTGGTAGTGGTAGCTGGACACCATCTTGTTCTTCTGGTCTCAGGGTCAAGGAGACTGATGTTCCATGGTCCATTAGTTCAGTGGACTCATTGTTTCCAAACATCTTCACATTTCCTCCCTCTCCTTTTGTCTGGACAGGGAGGGATCAATAGTTGCACTTGAGATGAAGGACTTTGTTTACTAAGGAGGAGATTAAGATTCTAACAGCATGGCCACCTTCAGTTTTCCCCAATCCAGTCATCGTCCTGGGTCAGCCACATTTTACAAATTCAGGTCCATTCCTGGGTCACTGTGTCGGTCATGAGTGAACTGGTGTGAAGGCCTGGATCAGCTGAGATAAATGGATTTTACTGCCTACTCCAGATAATTAGAACCTCTTAGTAATCATTAGACCCCTTAGAAACTGAGCTGTGTTTAGCTGATTGTTGTATTTGCTTCCTGAGACATTGGATATTTCACAGACCTTAACAATCTCCAGTCCCACCCGCAGCTAGAATTTAATTGAATCCTCTTGTGAATTCACTTATGCGTTTACTATTAAAATGAATTTCTTACCACCATGCTTGGCCCGTAGCTGTTGGAAAACCAAATCAGATAGCAATGACTGATTTTGAAAAATTACCGTCGTTAAAGAATTATACAAGCATCTCAGTGTAAAACCTTAACAAATAATGGACTGGCTTATTTTTAGACTGTCATGAATAAAAAAATGCTGATTTTTTTTCTCATGGGATTAAAGGATATTTCAAAGTGTCAGAAAAATACATGTAACGTATTTGATTTTGCTCACTCATTTATGCATTCATTTAATAGATATGACTTAGTTCCTAATTTGTGATAAAGCATTGAGATACAGTGTTGAGACAGATTTGCTGTTTTTCAACCATTTTTTTTTTTTCCCCATAAAGAAGTAGAAAAATAACTTGAATATGGTAAGTTCTGTGAGGAAGTAAAAACAGGGCCGAAAACTGTACAGTGGGGCCATACTGTAGGGAGGGTGGTCAAGGAAGGCCTTTCTGAGAAGATGGCGTCTGAGCCTAGACTTCCAGCTTGAGGATGTGACACTTCGAGCATAAAACTTGAGGTGAGAAACATTTGAAGAGGTAGAGGTACTGAGGACCTGTGTGTCTGGAACCAAGTGGGTACGGAGAACGTAGGGTACTGTTAGAGTAAGAGTCGGGTCACCCCTGCGTTGTTGACCATGGTAAGGAGTTTGGATTTTTACGCCTTTTAAGTGTTTTAAATAGAGATTGTGCCTGTTTCAGATGTGAATTTTAAGACTATCACTCAGGTTGCAGTATGAAGAATGGATTGAAATGGGGTGAGGGAAGAATTGATTGAAACCACCCCAGATGTAAAGTTCCAGCTTGCATGCTTGGGGGATATGTAATTTCTGTGCACTGTAGCATTGATACCCTTTGTGTGCAGTCTTTCTAAGTGAAACAAACATGTTATAACGAAGTTAGTTTTGTTATCTGGTAATTAAACATCGTTGGATGTGATTATAAAGTTCAGTTCAATTTGGTAGTGTTGTCATGAAGTTGCTGTGTTTTGTGTGTCTGTAAATGTATTTATGAATGTATAGTCTATGTGCAGAGACTTAATGAAAGAGGTGAACCTTAACATTCCATCCTTGTTCCCACAGGATTTTGGCTCGTTCACCCATCCTGGCATATGTGTATTTATAAAAGAATGTTTGACAGTGAAAACAAAATCCTAACCAAAGAAGGTGTTATCCATTTTTTAGAGCTCTATGAAACAAACCTGCTTCCATTTTCATTACAATTTTCTGAGGTAATGATAGCTCATCCTGTTCCTTGCCCCCTTTGTCAGAAGGTGAGAGGGAGAGGCATTTGTTGTGTCATGGGTCATTTTGCAAATTTATGCTCAAGTGAAACAAACAAG